AATAAACAAAAAGTTTTTAATAAACAAAAAGGCTTTTAGTAAATAAAAAATCTTAATAAACAAAAAGATTTTTTAATAAACAAAAGGTTTTTAATAAATAAAAAGATTTTATTATAATAAACAAAAAGGTTTTTAATAAACAAAAAGATTTTTAATAAACAAAGAGACTTTTAAAAAATATATTTTTTTTAATAAACAAAAAGGCTTTTAATAAATAAAAAGATTTTTAATAAACAAAATAATTGTAATTTTAATTAATAAATAAAAATTTCTTGATTTAATCTAGTTTGTAATTATTGGGATTATATATATGTGCCCAAAGGTACATGTACCCATATCATGTGATCTATAGATCATCACTAAAATTTAAGATCAGGTGTAACATTATATGATCAGGAAAATTCAAAACAAACAATTACTCATTACGCAAAAAATTGCATACTAAACTACCTTTTGTGTATTAATAAAAAGTTTTCTTGAGTGATTTTACTATATAATAGTCTAAATCCTAACCTTAACATAGTTATTATACTAACTCTAACCTAAACAATACTGATATTACTGATTTTTTATATAATATCATATAATAAAAATAATGGGTACAAAAAAATTTAATGTACCCTACAGGTATAACTATATTAATTTGTAATTATTATATTTAATTATTAAATTAGGTCTGGCCCAGCCTAGCCTAGTCTGCAATTATAAAATTTTAAACCCAGCCTGATCCACAATTACAAAATTTAATTGTTAAACCTGGCCAAGCCCACAAACTGGGTCAGGCCGGGCTTTGACCCAATGCAGGCCTTTAATGGCTAATATAAAGAAATATTAAAAAGAGATAAAATTGAATCAGATAATAATAATGATAATAATAATGATGATAATGATAATTATGATGAACCAGATTATTTGTATTGAACTAAACAAAAAATAAAGGCCTATGCAAAAGAAATAGAAAAAAGAAAAAAGAGCTCTTAAAAAAAAATAGCTCAATACTCTGAAGCCTCTAAAACCTCTGAAGCTGAAGCTAAAGAAAGTGATATCTCTAATATTAACTTTGATACTTTATTAGAAAGAGAATTACAAAGTAAAACAGGATTAACAAGTATTTTAGAATCTGCAACTATTAGGAGTTCATCAAGTATGATGAGTCTTGATGATGAAAATATTGATGCAGATGATAAAGAATATTTAGAAAGTAGATTTTCAGTAAAGCAAGGGAAAAAAAGAGCTAGAGAAGAAGTAGAAGAAGTTTAAGCTCAAGCAGAAGATGATAATAATCTTTATAATCCTGTAATAAAAAAAAATTAGTATCTAAAAGCAAAAAAGTTGAATTTGATAAAGATAGAATTTCTAAATCAAAAAGACTATCTAATAAAGATAATGATAGTGATAATGATAGTGATAGTGATGATGATGATGGTAATAATGATGATAATAGTAATGATAGTAATAAGGAGAGACCATCAAAAATTTAACCAAACCCAAAAAAGAAGAAAAGAAAAACAGTAACTATTAGAGAGTTTGCAGCTTATAAATTTATAGTTAGAAACTCAAACAAAGATAATAGTATTCTGTATCTTTCAGGCAGATTGTTTCAACAATATATAGTAGATTAGTATATAAAGTAGAAAACAAATAATTTAAGTTGGCATTACAAAAATCAAAAAGATTTAAGATCAGAAATCTATCAAGGATTACAAGATATAATTTCTAATAAAGATGCCAATCTTGATGAAGTTGGCAAAAAGATAATTTTGTCATCAAGCTTTACTGGGTCTACAAGATATTTACAACAATTGTATCAAGGTTCTATGGCAATTGTTAGAGAATTTGAAAAACCTGATCTGTTTATAATAGTTATATGTAATTCAAAATGGCCTGAAATTACATCTAAATATTTACCAAAACAAAAATTTGCCAATATACCAGATTTGAAAACAAGGGTTTTCAAATTAAAATTAGATGCAATAATCAATGATTTAGTTGTAAAAGGTGTATTGGAGAAATTTATTGCATATACATATGTAGTTGAGCTTCAAAAAAGAGAGTTGCCACATACTCATATATTACTTATATTGGTATTTGAAGATAAACCACAAACTCTTGAAGATTACGATAGAATTATATTTGCTGAGATACCAGATCCAGATACATAACCAAAATTATATAATATAATTAACAAATGCATGATTCATGGACCCTGTAGAAAAATTAATATAGATTCTCCATATATGGGCTGCTATCAATAGAACACCAGACCTATAAGCCTCGTTGAACATATCAGAAAATTATACACTAAACTGCTCACTAATCGTCTAAACAATATT